TGCAATTGCAATCTCAGAACTTGTTCTTTCAGGCCTTGGCCGTAAATTATGATTGTTAGCTGCTGCTTCCCTTGTGCCATGAGTTTTCTGCAAGAATATCATGTGGTTGTGAATTAATAATCTACAAATCTGTAAGTACTACTGTACCATGATAATTCATTGCAGGAAGATTAGGCTGACCTTTACTCTTTTCCTAGGTTGAATTGGCGGCATTAGGTTCCTTGCACATTCAGCTATTCTCAGAGATTCGAACTTCTTTTGGTTCCTTGCACATTGTGCCATTTTCTGCAGCTCATACGAATTGATAAAGGCATCCTTATTGTTTCCTCTTGCGCTTGACATTTTTACTCCTGAGAAGGAACAAACAAGTTAGCCAAATTTGATTATGCAGACATAAGTGCAACTATTTTGCAACTAAAGAATGACAAAAACATGGCAGCCACATTGTGGAAACAAGAGTTACTTCTTAGATTGCTTTCTAGACTTTTTTCGATCAACAATTGTACCATCTATAAATGTTCTAACAGCAGGGATAATCCCATTAACAACATCCACAGTCACACCGGTATCTAAATCAGGCAATGGCACAACTAGTCCATTGCCATTTTCAATGTGCTCAATCTCCAAATTATCAATGTCATAGTAGTCTCTTGGTTTTGATTGAGAAACAGTAACCCACTCAGTGTCAATTCCATCAGGAACATAGAAGACTTGAACTGCTTGTGATGCTAGTATGAAAGGCTCATCTGAAATTTTTTCACCGGTATTGAATAAATGCTTAAAGTTGACAATGGTGACCCCGAATTGATCGGTCTTAACCCATTTATCTTCCACACGGTTGTCAACCCAATCACACTTGAAAAGAAGCACATTACCTCCGTGTGCATAGTTCAGTTCAACAATATCCTTTATAACTCCATAATAGGTTTTCTTTCCCATTAGGAAGTCATTGTTATTTCCACTTTCAAAGCATGTTGTCTCTGCAACTAGAGCAACCCCACTATTTCTGCAACTAAAGCATGTAGCCGACCACGACACTATCGTTGGCGACCACACACTATGGCTAGAGGTAGAAGAAGGGAGGGAGAACATAGCACACACACAGGACAAGCACCAACGTTGGCCGGAGCTCTGCAGAGAATATGGTAAAACTGAACTCGCTCTCTTTACTGAGTTGCAGTGGCAAACTATATATACAACTCTACCCATCTAATCCTAGTACACAGACATATCAGGCTATCATGCTGCTACAGTGACTAGATATGACAGCAGGTGTGGCAGAACCGCCTAGTCTAATGCCTCCTAGGAGTGCTTGTCTTTCATTAGACACTAAGCACTCGAAGGAGAACACTAAATTACTCGGTTCCATCGGGCACACCCAAGGGAAGAACCCGAAAATCCATATTTTTGCCATCAGGATCACAAATGAGAGAATAAAGCTTACAACATTCTTAACCATTTCTTACATCACTTTTAGTACAACATTATAGTATAATATTTATTTACTATAACAGCGGAATGTAATTATATTATCAGAGTTATGAATAACTTAATTGAACAGCGAAATATACACATGTGAACAGAGTTACAACGGAAATAAACATCTATTAATGACATGATGAAACATTGATATATAAACTACGACAACAAATTATGAAACTTTCATTTATAAAAGTATTTGATGAGAGTTATAAATAACAACCACGATTGCAGCGTAAAGGAATCCTCGCTGAGCCCAGTAGGAGGAATCCACACATAAGAGTCAGCTTGAGCATCCACCTGTCACCTGCAACAGGGGGAATAAAACCCTGAGTACTCAATTGTACTCAGCAAGACTTATCCGACAGGAGAAAAGAAAAGACTCCAAGGATATGCAAGGCTATCTGGCTTGTAGGTTTATTGCATTTGCAGGAAGCATTACTAAGCGTGCGTCCTTATATTCAATTTTTATTAATAGCCGCATTGGTTCATTAACTAACCATTCTATATAAGCACATGTTCTACTTTCAAGCAGGTGGTAAGCAATCAGAGTTTCTTTTTCCATCTTTCATCTTTCAGTTTTTACTACGATGCTAAACCGTAGACAAGCCGTACCGGATCGCCCGACGATTCGCGAATCAATGCCCCCAGCTGGGTACCCCAAAAACACACGCTCCGCTTGTACCCTAGGCACAAGCAGGACCAACCCATCACTCTTCTATCCCGGGTGTCCAAGTCCCCGTCCAAACTGGGACTCCAAGCCCCCGCTCCTGAGTCTCGGACTCAGTGCGGTGTAAGGACCTCCTCCACCAAAATAAAACCCTAACAGTTGGTCCGGAAAGAGCCGGATCCACGACAAAAGAGCAACAAGCCTTCCAAGCGCCCATACACAAGTATATGCTCAGGATAATAAGTCTGTGACTTGCCTAGAATCTTATGCAACGGCCGGTCCTTAACCGACACAGATAGGGAAAACAGTGTAACCAAGCCATACCCCATGTCCACGGCGACACAACTTCTTACACCCACCAATACCCAAACCATATCCCTGCCCGGTCACCATTTTTTCTTTCCACCATTTATATTTTCCAAGTGATAATAATACAGTAATATATTTCCTATCTCTCGCGAGTGACAGACAATCACTCGACTTCCACCGGAGTCCTGTAGCATAGCATTCTATACGGTCCTGTCATACTAGTAAGACTCATAGGATAAAGATATATATGCAAGTGGGTTTTATTCAACTCCTTAAAACTTAATGCACAAAAATAATTTAAACCGCAGAAAAGTAGAGGTTATGCACCGAGACTTGCCTGGATAAGATATATCTTAAAAGTTGGTATATGCATCTTCAGATCATTCACCAGCAACTGAATAGCAAGCCCATTGCATCATCTCCTGGAGAGAACATCTTCGAACTTCCAACCATCATTCAATCGATCCATTGATCCATCATCGTACCTATATGATATGCATTGATGCAAATGCATAGATGTAAATAATCAACTACAGCCGAAATGCTTAGAAATCCGATCACGCCTCACCAGCTAACGAGATAGCTCTAACGCTGGTCTACATATCCATGTTGTCGAATAAGACGTTACTTCCCAATAATTATTTTAGTTATATAAACCCAAGTTGTTTCTTTATTTTATCCTATCGAATTAGTCTTTATTCGCAATGGGATATCGTTTTCTATCTAGCAACTAATTATTCCGGAGCTACAAAAATTACAGTGAGCAGCTAATGATATTAGTAATTTACTATAAAATTTTTAGAGTTAATACTATCACCGATTTATCACGGAAAAAATTAGAGCAACCTAAAAAGCATACCAAACCAATGTGAACAAAATACATTATTCGGTAGACCATGATTTTAGAAACTCGATAAAACTGATTTCACCATTTTTGATACCTACACAATTTTATATTGATTTTACAAGTTTACTTTATAAACTAAATTATACATTGCTCTACAATTCAAAAAGGCCGGCGACCCCCTTTCGGCCCAGCTGTCAGGTCCGGCCCAAGCGTGCGTCACCAGGCCGGCCCGTAGGCGCACAGCGTGGCCAGACGCATCGGCAACCAGGCCAGCCCAGGCGGGGCGCGCACGGCCCACCGCGGGGACGGCGCGAGCGGCCCAGCGCGACGCGGCAATGATTGGCCAGCGGGCTGCGGCAGCGGCCTAGGCGCGTCAGGCGCGGCCGACGGCCCAGCGAGGCGGCCCAGCGCGGGCGCGTACGCGAGCGCGGCCCAGCGGGCGGCAGGCGCGAGCGGGAGCTGGCCTAGCAGGCGACGGCAGAAGCAGCGCGGACGCAGCTGGCCCACAGAGCGCTAAGTGGCGTATTTCGATGTATTGTGGACTTTATTTTCCTACAAGAAAGCGGCCCTAAAATGGGTGTGATGCAGGGATGACATCATGCTGATGTCAACAAGCTAACAGCAACAGTACGCACCTTCGGCTGATCTGCTTTCTTGCTCGGACGCGATGCGGTGGAGTTCATCGGTGCTGCTACTAGCTCGACGCAGAATAGCGCGATGAGAGTATGGCTAACTGGAAAACGGTGGAGTGCTGCTCGGCAAAAATGGAGAGGCGACGCCGTTTGGAACTTAAAGCGGCCGGGAATGACGAAAACTTGAATGGACGCTCCGACATCGTACTACCGCACAGTGTTGGGTTAGGCACAGATATGTACTCCCATTCATCCTCCACACGTGCATGATAACAAGGATGGGTCAGCTCAGTGGTTTGGCCGGCCACCGTCCAAGACAACGTGACGACAACTTTGCGTGGCTTTGCGTGCAAACGTGAAAATTTCAGCAAAGCTCGAATTTAAATTTGATTCAAAAGCTATATATATATATATGTATATATATACATATATATATATGTATATGTATATGTATATGTATATGTATATGTATATGTATATCGTTTTATTTATTAATGGATTCTATTTTTATTTATAAAAGTTGCTTTTCATGCTTAATCTAATAGAACAAGACGTTCGCTATCGATTGGCCAGAATTGTCGTTCGACATTCCTGAACATCTTTACGCACTGCGTCATTTAACTTGGACGTTGATTTGAGTCCGTGAAACTAAGTCACACAAGATTCGCTCATCGTTCCAAGTACATTTTTAATTAAAAACCCGAGAAACTCGTTACGAAAATTTACTTAGGCCTAAATCGCGGTGCTAAAAAAGATTGTAACACCGGGGTGTTACAGCCGGACTGACTTTGGCACCTGCCCCTGCTGTGGCTACAGTGCGGCAGGAGATCCGTTCGGCGTCTACCCCTGCTGTGGCTATAGTACCACAGCAGGAAGCCTTTTCGGCGCCGTCTTCCCTGCCGTACGGTCACACAAGGGAGCAGCAGATTACATAATAAAGATGTCTAAGATCTCCGGCTTTGGAACTCATTCAGGAGATACAGGCTGTGAATTCTAGTGTGTCACAATCCGTCCAAGGATGTCTTGAGTGGCAATACCACCACCAGAGCACAACATCTGAATATTAGAACAGGAGCGGGACAACATCATCTTCAGCAGTTTCCTGCACATCAGGCAAATGGGGCAGGTCTGCACTGATGGAGAACCTTAGCAACCGCTTCTTCTCCACGTACACCAGGCACGGCTGCAGCACTAACCCAACGACCATCGCTAACATACTCACCGCCATCACCTTGAAGGACTCGAGGGCCATCACCACGACGATCAAGAGAGTAGGTGGGGTGATCATCAGGACAACACCAATGGTGCCCAGAGGGACCTTGTAGGGCCGAGAGGCGTTCGGATGGGTCACCCGAAGCTTGATGAAGGCAACGAACTCCAGGATCATGCCGAAGCAGTAGAGGTAGTTCTCGGTGGCAACGATCTCCTGGAAGCTCATCCAGGACAGTAGGATCACGCCGGAGGCAGAGAACAGGATGCCAATAAGCGAGGTTCCATGGCGAGATCGCTTTGCGAAAAAGTCAGGGAGCATGCCACGCTCCGCCATCCCAAGAAGCTGGTAAGAGTCGCTGCTCATTTCAGTGAGGAAATTGCCCACGTTGGATAAAGCGGCAACTGCTTGCATCCATGATTGCAACCAAACGCCGCCGAGAATTCTTGCGATGTCTGAAAAATACCCATCTGACCAGTGCTCCCGAACAACTGGAACTACTGCTGTGCAAGTGATCAGCGGGTAGAGATATCCTCCCACCACTAGAACAAGAGCATAAGAAAGCGCTTTCGGTAGGGTTCTCTTTGGATTCTCGACTTCACCGGTCAATGTGCTGATTGAATCCCAATAGTTGAGGTTCCAAAACAGTGTATTCTACAATCTCCAATCCACACTCCCCAAGTCCACTTCAAGCCACCTTGAAGGTTCAATCCGTGGAATAGCTACCAATCCCATCACCAAGAATGGAAGGAGGGAGAACACCCCAAGAAAGACTGCGACCCAGCCAATTACAGTCAGCCCTCTGTAGTTCATGTATGTAAGCGCAACTGTGAAGATAAGCACCGCTATGGTCCTTAGGAGCCCACCTCCAAGAGCTGGAACACTGGACTTGAGATAGTCGAGAATGAGGACCGGATAGAGGGCATTGTCTATGACACCACTGAGCCACTTTGCCCATCCTTTATGAAAAGGCAATTTTTGCTGTGGGACATCGCGAAAACAATAAATTGGCTGCAACACACCGCCAACACTTGCTTTTGCTGAGTACCATTATGAAATCGCGAATGTTTGTCAGTGGACACCGCCTCCATTAAAATAAGAAAAACAACAATCGGGAGAGAGAAACATTCCAAAATGACCAGCGTTGCCCCTTGGTCGAACCAGACCCTGTTGGTCGAGCCGGACCACTACTTGGTCGAACCAGACCCTGTGCTCTATCCAACCCTAGCTGGCGGCGTCTCCAGTCTCCCGCAGCGCCACCGTCTCCAGCCACCCATGCCGCCGTCTCCAGTCTCCCGCAGCGCCACCGTCTCCAGCCAACCACGCTACCGTCTCCTGCCGCCCACACCGCCGTCTCTTCCCCACAGTCGGCGTGCCATGGATGCATGAAGATGGCTTCGCCGACGAAATCGAAGCGGCTCCGCCCGAGCATAGATTCACCGTCCAAGGGAGTGAATCTGTCATGGGTTCCTGAGGGGTATGCACTCTTATCCTCTTCCGCTTTTCGATCTGGGGTTGGTTAACATGGTTGCAGTGAACTTGGGGGTCAATTTGCGCATCCGAAGCTAGGGTTTTCATGATTTCTTGTTCTTGTCCGTGTTTTAGGATGGACAGTAGTTCTGCATTACGCATAGCAGTGCGTGTCCCATGTTACTATGAGGCTTGCGATGACGGTAGAAATGTGGCTCATAATGCAGCAGATTTTTAGCTCATTGTTGATAGGGACACTCTGAATCTGATTGATTTAAGTAAGAATGTAGCTGCCAAAGTGTCTATTGGGAAGAATCAGGGCTTCAATTTGACATATTTCGACAAGAACACCCAATGCTATACCAATCTGACCTCAGATGCAGCTTTGATGGATGCTACTAACAATTATTGGCATCTAAGGCGGCTACCTTTGTTTGTGAATTTTTATGACATGATTCCTATTGCATATAGTCAGAGTGTGTCTTTGGATAATGAGGCCAGTGCATCTGTTGCTCTCCCATTGCTGCCCTCCGCTTGGTCATGATGATGGGCGAGAACAATCAGATTGTTGAAAGCTGTTGGGCACTGGTGGAGGTGAGGCCGATGTGGAGTCACTTAGTGGGGAGAAAGTGATGATGGCGGTGTTCACTCTTCTAACTCGATGACTCAATTTGAGAAATCCACACTGCTCAAGGAAGAAGCAAGAAGAAGCATCTTGATGATGATGTTTCATGGGAAGAAGATGTTGAGGAGTATGTTGGGGTCAATGATGAGGGCCATTATATGCCAAAACAGCCAAGATCAACAAGCATCGAGGGGGATCTTGACTCGACTCTCTTGTTCATGATGATTTGTATGTTGATGATGATCTTTGGTTGTGAGATCAATGAGCATGTTACTAACTTAGAAAACCCAACTATAGAATGTGGTGTCACATTTGAGGATGGGGACACCTTTAAGAGAGCTATTAGACAATATGCTGTGCTAAAAGAGTTTGAAATTGCAGCTCCTTACAGTGAATCCAAAAGGTATAGAGGGCACTGCAAATGATTCAAGAGCAAGAAGAAGAGGTGCAAGTGGATGATACATGCTTCTCAATTGCAAGATGGCAAGACTTGGCAGGTCAGTTTATTTCTTTTTCAAATTTCCTTACATTTTGGTTCTTATTTTTCCCAACATGTGTTTGATACTTTGCCTTCCTTTTATTTGTCAGATAAAGAAGTTGGTAAAACATACTTGTGCCAGCACATCCCAACTGGAGAAGAACTGCATGGCTACCAATGCCTGGGTGAGGGACAGATCCTAAAGGATGAACCAACAATTCAAGCTAGTAAACTGAGGAAGGATTTGCAGAACAAGTACAACATCCAACTTTCATACTATGTTGTCTGGGATGGACTACAAATGGCTCTAGAGTAAATTCAAGGAAAATGGGATGATGACTTTGAAGATGTTTTTTTTAGATTCAAAATTTGAGGTGGATGAGACAAATCTGGTAGCATTATGGACATTGAGTGGATCTTGGTGGTAATAAGAGGAGGTTCACAAGGATGTTTGTTGCATTTAAGAGCTGTGTTCAAGGTTTTTGAATAGATGCGAGACCCTTCTTAGGTGTTGACTCAACAGTTTTTGACTGGGAGGGTGGAAGGCGATTAGCTTACGCTTGGTGTGGATGGACACGGTGGCTTTTTTCGATGGCATATGGTGTCTTTGAGTGCAAAAGCTGCTAAAAATTGGATATGGTTTTTGAGAAACTTAAAGTGGCAATTGGGACTCCTCGAGGCCTGGTCATATGCATGAGATGATGAGCAAAGGAATAGATAAGGGAGTTACATATGTTTTCCCAAATGGAGTAGAGCATAGAGAGTGCATGAGGCATCTAGTGAAGAATTTTAACAAGAGGTATAGAGGAGTAGTGTTCAAGAAACATTTGTGGCCAAGCAAAGCGAGCTTACAAACCGGAGGCACTTTGATCACCATTACAACATCATGAAGCAAGCTTCACCAAGGGCAATGAACTGGATAGAGGACAACCACAAGCACATATGGAGTAGATGGAAGTTCTCTCATGCAAGCAAATGTGACTATGTTACTAACAACATAGCAGAGACCTTCAACAGTTGGATTAGGAATGAGAAGTCCTTGGCTTTAATTCCTCTGTTGGATAGGATTAGGCAAATGATCATGGAGAGACAAGACCTTAGGAGGTCACTGTCACTTAAGCCGAGAGACAAGATCTTGCCTCATGTCACCAAAGAGCTGCATGCCATGAGTAGGAATTTACTGAAGTATGCCATACATAGGGGCCCAACAAACTGCTGAGATTCAAGGCACTACAAAGGAACCGAAAACACGGAGGCATCTTGTCGACCTTGATAATAGATCATGCAATTTGTCAAAGGTGGTGATTCTTTGGATTGCCATGTACTCATGCTCTCGCTTCATCCATTCCATGCATAATGAAGTGTGGAAGACTACATAGATGACTATTATTCGGTTGATAAGTTCAAGAAAGCATATGAACATGTGATAAGTCCCATGACAGATAGGAATCTGTGGCCTGATGTGGACTTGGGTTTTAAACTTTGGCCTCCAAGGTTCAAGAGAGCTGCAGGTCGGCCCAGATCAAGAAGGATAAAAGGTTCTGAAGAAGGTGGCAAGCAAAAAAGCCAGCGCCAGTGCAAGAGGTGTGGAGGGTTTGGTCACATGATGAAGACCTGTAATGAAACTGTTTATGACTCTGATGCACCACCAAAGCCCAAGAGAGCAAAGAAAAAGAAAAGCACTGCCACAACAACTGTCTCTACCCAGTAATCACAGATTGAAGGTGCTCAAGAAACAACTGTCTGTCCTGCTCTAACAAACAACCCACCAAACATTGCACCACCAGCTCTAACAAACAGCCCCGCAGCAAACACTAGGAGGTAAGTGTAAAGACTTGATGCCTGTTATCTATGACAACATACTATTATTTATCTTTCTTATGTTGGGTATGACTACAGCCGCAAGAGGGCATTGGAGCTAGGTGGTGAAACTTCCTCCCCAATAGTAGAAGTGCAGCATCAAAAGAAGAAGAAGAAAAATGTGGTGACCACCAAGGCTACTGGAGAAGAAATGCAGGCTGGGGAAAAGGAGGCAAGCAAGGCCGGCAAGAGGATCAGCAAGAAGAAGCTCATCCTGGACCTGTGATGCATGTCTTATGTAATGGATCTATTTTGTGGTGAACCTGTTACTTATTTGGTGGTGATGATGGACCTATGAACTTGTTATGTAGTGTGCTAAACATGTTATGTAGTGTGATGAACCTGTGAACTCAGTTATGCAATTTCAATCATGAACTCAGTTGGCAGACTTTGTTGTGTGAAGTGATCAAATTAAACCTGGATGCATGTTTTTGCAACAATTTGGCACACCATTTTCTTGCCCCATCATCCATGAACTCAGATACAATTTGACAGACCATTTTCTTGCAACATAATTAAGATGCATCATTGATTTCAAACAAGGTACAGATAAGCTGGATACATGTTCATGACCAACAACACTAACTGGATACATGTTCATGACCATGACCAACAACACTAACTGGATACATGATAACCAGGATACATGACAACCTATTGTTCTGCTTCACTTGATCAACAACACTAACAGAACTAACACCAAAACGAAAACCATTACACCACCAACTACAAGCAGCCGCTCTCCAATTTTATTCATGTTGGTCAACAATTTCTTGTTGCTCTCAAGTACTGACTTCAGTAGTGCCTCTGAACCTTGGAGATGAATCACTGCAGTCTCCAACAGATCTTGGCAGCCATCAAATCCTTGGTAGGCCTTCTCCTTGTCATTGCCTTCCCTCATCACCTCGAGCGCCATGGCACCCTGAACTCGAACCTGACTACAAGCGTGAGGAAGAACACCTTTGGCGACCAAGTAATTGATATACTGTTCCTCAAAGTAGTACACTCCACACGCAAAGTCGGTCTGGCAAACAAGAGATGAAAAATAAAAAAAATGTGCATCTCCTCAAAACCATATCAGAAGTCAACGACCACTTACATGCTCAAGCAGTGGACACTTGTAAAACCTCTTCCCCTTGCTGCCAGGCTTCTACGACACGCGCCCGATGAAAACGGTTCCGCACTTGTGGCAAGGAACCAAGGGCAAGAATCCAGCTCGGTCTCTGTAGGGGTTGCGGCGCGCCGCACGGTGTGGAATGCGAGCTCGATGCCATGGCTTGAAGGTAGGGTTCGTCGAGATGGGGAATGAGGATGGGGAGAGAGACTGACGAGAACGAGAACGGGGGAAGGAAGAAGACGACCGGGGCCGAGCCGAGCTGGTCCAACCGGACCACCTAAATGATAGGACTCAGGTCGGCAGGGGTAAAAACGTCTCTTTACTGTGCTTTCTCTCTCCCGATTGCTGTTTTTCTTTATTTTAATGGAGGCGGTGTCCACTGGCAAACATTCGCGATTTCATAATGGTACTCAGCAAAAGCAAGTGTTGGCGGTGTGTTGCAGCCAATTTGTTGTTTTCGCGATGTCCCACAGCAAAAATTGCCTTATGAAAACCCCAGAACGGACCAAGAGCTGAAGAAACCCAGACAACATAACCACCGTTCTCTGGGAACATAGTGCCCATCTCAGCAGTGATTAGAGCTTCTGGAATGCTCCATATGAGCGCAAACAGAAGGAAGCCCAGAATTGCTTGTAGTGGCCCGGCAGCCCTGACACTGTCCTCAATCCCAAAGGGAGCCCCTGAAACTTCATAGAATATGAGGAATACGAGGGGGGCCATGGAAAGCTTGGGGATGCCATGCCCTCCCTTACACTCTTTGCCCTCACTGACACTGTTGTAGTTGACACCAACACGGTCGCCCATTGGAAGACTGGCTGAATTTGCTCGTTTTCCTCAGTCTCTGCAGTTGGAATTGGAAAGCCAAATCATCAGCAATAATACCGATGCATATGGTTGTTCCTTGTCAACTAGAGGTCAAAAAAAAAGGAACAGATATAAATAAATCACTACTGGCACACAAAGTCCATACTCTCTAAGAAACTATACCGTGGTCTTGTAAACTGCAGTATGAAAAGGGGCAGCGATAAAAGGGACAACCAGAATGTTGGGAAAATAATGCCAGGAGAATTCAAATAATAATAATAATAATGCTAGGTACCTCGAATGAACTGTAAATTACGGTCGATCAGTATATCCCTGGCAACTTTAAATTAAGGCACACATGAAGCATTCAAAGAGAGATAATAATGGAACCAAGAATTTATACATCATGGATATACACTCCTTAAACTACTACTAGTAGCAATGAAATAGCCTCTGCATGAAACAGAGGATTCATTGTGCGTACGGCGTACGTACCAGTGGCAATAAGGGCATGTTTAGTTCCACCCAAAACCTAAAATTTTTTGCACGGTATTTATCATATCGAATCTTGCGGTACATGTATGGAATACTAAATATAGACGAAAAAAAACTAATTACACAGTTGGGTGAGAAATCACGAGACGAAACTTTCGAACCTAATTAGTCTATAATTAGACACTAATTACCAAATACAAACAGTATCAAAACCAAAATTTTTTACCAACTAAACAGGCCCTAAACTGAGGTTGCCGTAAAGAGCCGACACTGACTACTCACTCCACTGTGACAAAGCTTGCGAAACTGAAAGGACGCGATAGCTGTTGCGAGTCCCAACTCTGATCCCAAGTACTGCTGCGATTGGTGAGAGAGACTGTTCGTTTGGCTGGGCTAAATTGTTGCTGGTTCGTAAAGAAGTACTGATTCGTAAAAAAGTACTGCTGATTGGTTTAGTGTGAAAGAAAAATACTGTTTCGGCTAAAAATTTATGATCGTTTACGAGCCAGCCCAGCCAAACGAACAGACAGTGGGTTGACGATGAGAAGCCGTGGTGAGGAATCAGACGGCCGGCACCGATCGATCAAGGGCGGAGCAGGCTGGGGGTATAGCAGTAGCAGGAGACGGCCGGGCAATGGATTGGGCACAAGTAGCGTGGACTCGGTGAGGAACCAGACATGTAATAACAAGATAAGAACAGTGATGTTCGCTTGCTCGATAAACCATGACTGAAAGTATTTTAGATGATTCGTTTTAAGAGAAAAATACTGTTCATCGATGAAAAAATACAACTTATAGAACGAACAGGGCGATAATAACAAGTGGCCTAGAGTGCTCACCCGCGCGGCGGCCCACACGCTCGGAGTGGCTCTCCCAGTCTCCCTCCCGCCGACGGCGCGATCGCGAATCCGCGTCCCTCCTCACCGGATGCCGAGAACTGGGCGGCGAGGCGGAGTGCTGGCTGAAGAAGCAGGACTCTGCAGGAGTGGAGAGGACAGAGGAGGGCTACTAGTGGTAGCTGCCGCTGCCGTCATGAGAACCCGTGAATTGTGGAAGAAAATGACTTCTATATATTTGTTTTATATTTATTTATTATTTATTTATAATCGTATACAAAGGCAGCGCCGTCGCCGTTTGAGGGATGCTGACGAGGAGGCTGTTCGGCAGGACTGAAAAATAAGCCAAAATACTATTTCAGCTGATTGTTGTGAGAAAAAAATACTGACTGTTCACGTGAACAGTGATTCGTGAGGGGGCTGCCCAGCCGGTCAGCCAGCCGAACAGCCACCGGGCAGCAGAGCATGTACGTGTGCGTCAGCACGCGTGTATTGTCAGGAGTACTACTGGCAGTGTTCGCTGCATATATCAGCATATATTGCTGTTGTGCAAATGCAATCGCATCATGCAACGATGACAACCGAACAAGCCCATCGTTTCCCTGAAATTTAGCCAGGACACGGTTTGTTCACTGAAAAGTACTAAAGTTCCATAAGAAGAAATAAGGTACAGTAGCTTTGTTTTCTTGAAATCATAGCAAGAATCATATCAACAAGCATTGATCAGATCGATGCAAATTTGTGGTGAAGAGGCATCTGCCATGTATGTTAGTTATGTTGCCCTTCTTCATAATCATATTTCAAACCCTTGCACTATTTGTTGAAATTCCTTCATGTTTATCCTTCATACTTTTAGAATCAGTCTACTGCTAATTGTTGACATTCCAAGTTTCCAATCCAAGCATTCTGTTTTCGACATATTTATTTTGAGTAAATTTGATGCCTGGAGTCAGGATACTAAAGTGGTGTTTAAATCCAGGGAATAAATTTTAGGGATGTCACATAGGAGTGTTCGGATAGTAATAATAAAATAAATTATAAAAGTTCTCAGTAATCCGCGAGATAAATTTATTAAGCCTAATTAATCCATCATTAGCACATATATTACTGTAGCACCACATTGTCAAATCATGTGCTAATTAGGCTTAAAAATTTCGTCTCGCAAATTAGTCGCAATCTGTGCAATTAGTTAGTTTTTTAGTCTATATTTAATACTCCATGCATGTATCTAAACATTCAATGTGATAAAGAGTAAACTTTAGATGAACTAAACAAGGCCTAACCCATATATGCTTTGTTGCAACTACTGATATAGGCATACTTTATTCCTTCTGATGGAACTCCATATACTGGCCCATATCCTTCAGTCCATATGCAAGTATTTCTCTTTTCTTTATTTACTCAACTAATAGTTAGACAAGTACTATATGTCCGTTCATCTGTTCTAACTTCTAAGTCACTTAACCCGGCTGTTAATCCCCCCCACCCACCCCATCATAACAGTCTGTTCACCGTCCAGAAAAATATTCTCTACTTTACATCTTCACCATGTACTTTTATCCATCAAGTACATTGAATTTGTAGGAAAATCACATACCTAATCAAATGTGTTCATGCCGCAAACATATAATATCTGTCATAAACTCATAATAGTAACAGTGATGGTTTAGGGATTTACAAATAATTTCTATGCAAATATTGCTGCATCAGCTTTATTTTCAAACAGCTTACTTATCAAAAAAAATTCAAACAGCTTAGGTTACCACTAATTTTGTTCATTTTTGGATTTTCCTATGTAGGTGGTGACGATTTGTACAGCTATTTTCTGCATGTCATGTTTAAATGTAATTAAATGGCCCTAGATTTTGGCATTGCTAGTGGGAATGACTTATGTCCCTCTCAAATCAAATTAGGCTCTAGAAATCAAATGATGCATGCGTTTTTATCTACTCAACAAAGTATCCTTAGTACGGAATGTATATTTGTGGTTTGACAAATGGATTTTTATGGTAGGAATAAATTTGAGCATAAATATTTGTGAATCTAACTCAGATATCAATGTGGTTTGAAATTTTATTTTATTTTGTTAAGGTTTAAGAATGCATATGGTCACAAGTATGTATATCCGACACAGGACACAACATTTATTGTTCTAACAATGAAACTTCATGGTTAGAAATAAATTTTGTCCACAAGAATGAATTTGTGATGAACAAACATTTCTTTATGGTCAAAATAAAACAAAGTATGTGGTTTGATAATGTACCTAGGTGTGTGCAGATTAGCGACCCTTTTAGCTAAAGGATGTGATTTATGCTTGTTAATTAGTTATCGTCCAGCGGTCTATCAAATTGACAACAGCATATTCAAATGTTTTTTGCAGGTGATGTGCAATCTTTCATATCTAGCCCACTTCACCATTAGTGTTCATAAATACTTGTTTCCTCCACAAAATTCCTTTGTTGAGCCTGGAACATGGAATGTCGTACTGCACATGACGTAATGTCGAATCATTCCAATTATATTTGTTCACTTGATTGAACGTGAAAGTGATCCATTCAATGAAGGATAGACTATCTTGTAATTATGTATTTGTTTGTTGACAGACAAGATTAGAACAAGGTTAGAGATTGATGAAGTTGTGTATATTTTTGTATTTTGAAAATTGTAGTCCTCCCAATTATTCTATTGTATTACTATCTAATTTTAGATGTTATAATGATTTGCACATGTGATTGAGGTTCCAACTGTTCCCTTCAATGCTGATTATAGATTAAGTTTGCGAGTGTAAATATCGGAGGATTCGGTGTGAAATTTTGCAATACAAAATACAACAACGGTCTAAGGATTGGCGATACAATATTTTTAGGATCTAATTAAAATAGTATTTGTGGTTTGGATAATGAGTTATTAGAAGTTTTTAAGTGGTTAAAAAAAGTTGTAAGCACATTTGTTTGGTCCATCCAACCGTTTCAAAATCTTGCTCTAAAAAATAGAAGACAAATTTACATCAAGAATTATGAACTATCTTTCAAATCACCCTAACCACTTTTATACTTTTTTCTTTCTTGTAAATTTATATTGAGAACCCTTGAAAGGTCCTAATGGCTAGAGGGGAGTGAAAGATCCTAATGGCTAGAGGAGGTGAATATCCTATTGAAAAAATCTACAACAACACTTAACAAACCGGCAAGACAAATAAGAGGCGAAGCTAATGTTGCGTTAGCCTACTAAAAATACAAGCCACCTACCACAATTCTAGTGACTATAATCTCTATGTACACAAAAGCTATGTCACTATACTAACTTAGTGTGCTCTAAAAGACTAACTAAAGAGCCACACTAACCACTAGACTCGACACAAGCTTGCTCTCAAAACTAATTACACTAAAGAGCGAAGCAACACTCGAAATATAAATACAAGAGAGGGATGTGATCATTATGGCCCCGTTCGCTTGTCTTAAATTTGGCTTGTTCGGCTTGTTTTTTCAGCCGGAACAGTGTTTTTCTCTCACAACAATTCAGCCGGAACAGTGTTTTTCAGCCAGTTTCAGCCAAAGTTCAGACCAGCGAACGGGGCCTATATCGTCGTGTCAAGGAATTGAGCCAATCACAAGATGGTCACAATCAATCACAATGAATAACAAGAAATCCTCGGACAATGATGAC